GGGGGGGGGGGGGGTCATTGGCAGGCATCATTGTAGCGTTTGTCACTGCAATGTTCCTCACCGCCACACACTTGCAGTCGAAGAAATGCTGGACTCACCGAGATGTCTTTGACAAAGCCCTAAAATTGTTATTTCTTCTGTAAAAGTCATATGAACGCTTATTTAATGCTTGGCCAGGACATTCTGGAGCCGAGTAAAGATACCTTGGCCCATATCAGGAGTCAGGCTGCCGTGTTACTGCAGCAGGATCCATAGCCTGGATAGATAAACCAGTCTGGTCCAGCTCAGCCAGAGGATCTCCAGTAATCCGAGAGGCTTTCCAAAGTATAAGCCACTTTCTCCTGTTGCTTTGTGTGAAAATCAGGACCTAGTCAAGGACTGACTATTCTGTTTATCTTCATTATTTTCCATAATAACATTCCCACCTAATCAGCAGAGTACAGGTAAATTACAGTGCATCTCCTAATCACTCATTCAGTGAAGCATGTTGAAAGTAGCCTTTTAGGAAATGTAACATCTGTAAGTCGCCAAATCTGCGCATCTAGAGTGATATAAAAGAAAAGAGTTTATGGCTGTTCACTGGTTATATGGAAGTTAATAGGTTTCCAAAAGCCTCTCCTAAGTCCACTCATAACTTCAGCTGTAGTCAGGGAGCTGAGGACCACACTAAAGAGGAACTAACTGATGACCACACTGAAGAGGAGCCCTAAGGAAAAGTATTTCCCCTAGAACTCAGCTTGGCTCCCACGTTTTGAATGAGGGGAATATTCATCTAAACCAAGTGCGGGAGACCACATTTTTGAGAAAGGAATATGGATTGCAGCATTGAAAATTATTTATTGAAAATATGCGGGTAACAAGATTATGGCTGCAGGAATCTTTGCTGTGTCGTTAACATCTTTGTAGATGTCGGCAGTAAAGTTTGTTTTTACGTTCTAGGCTTCTAGCTACACATTCTTGTAAAACTTGAGATGAGACTTAACAAGGAAACAGTGTTCAAAACATAGAATATGGTAGCTTGCCAGTATAATATAAATTCTAAGGTGAAATTAATGTTTTCCTGTATGCAAATTGGCAGCCAGTTAATGAATCTTATCAAGGTCATTAGGGAAGTGTCTGTGCGCCGGCTCTATTTGAGGGAGAGAGGCAATGAGGAGACTGTGCAAGAAAAAAGTCATTAAAATCCCCCAGAAAAAAGGCATGTTTAGGAATCTTAATATTGCTGGACTCTTGAAACACGTCTTCCTGAGGCCTGTTTTGAATAAGATCCATGGGTATATGATACAAGGGCAGAGTTCTGAATGTTTCTCCTGAAGTTCATTTTGAACTGCTCAGTTGGAGACTCAGGAGAAGGCTGTGGCGACAACAGTGATGAATGGCAGTGGGTGAGTGTGGACAAGGGGGAGCAGACACATTGTTAGGAAGCTGTTATCCTGAGCCACCCTCTCATCTGAACTCCCGGGACATTAGGTGAAAATGTGTTTTCTTTTTTTTTTTTTAATATATCTTTATTGACTTCAGAGAGAGGAAAGGAGAGGGAGAGAGAGAGATAGAAACATCAATGATGAGAGTCATTGATCAGCTGCCTCCTGCACGCCCCCGACTGGGGATCGAGCCCACAACCCAGGCATGTGCCCTGACTGGGAATTGAACCCCAATCGCTTGCATCCTAGGTCGATGCTCAACTGCTGAGCCACGCCTGGCCAGGCGAAAATATATTTTCTTAAAACATTGATGAACCTTGAGGACACTATGCTCAGTAAGATGAACCAGACACAAGAGGACAAACACGTGATTCCACTGACGTGAGGTCCTGCAGTGGACACATCTACAGAGACAAAAAGTAGAATGAATGCAGTGCCAGGGGACGAGGGATGGAGGGAGGAGTCTAATGGGGACAGGGCCTCCGTCTGGGAAGATGAAGTCCTGGAGAGGATGGTGGTGACGGCTGCACAACTGTGAATGTGCCTAATGCTGCCGACCTGGGCACTTAATGGTGTGAGAGTAAATTCTATGTTGTGTGTATTTTACCATAATATATGTTTCCTATGAGTGACTCTTGTTTTGGGTTTAACAAGTGGCATGTGGTCCCTTATCTCATTTCTACTTTTCAATTTGGTTGAAAACACTGTTGTAGAAAGAGCACCAGGGAAAAGAGAGGTCCTAATACTTAGTCTTAGAACCATCGCTCTTCTGGCCCAGAGACTAGTTTTGGGGCCCAGGTCCCTCTCTGTAAAATGAGCGGTAGATAGTGGCTCAGTGTCTTCCAGCTGGGACATCGTATGTCTGTGATGTCTCAGTCTTATGTCCTGGAGTCAGAAGCTCCCTGCTGGGGTCTCTCCCATGCAGGTCAGCTTCTGTCCTGCCCCCTCGTGGTCCCCGTTCCTTCCTGACAACTGTGCCCTAGTGTGAGTGCTGGCACACTGCTGAGAACCAGAGACAACCACCAAGCACAGACGGTCCCTGCTGTGAGGGGTTCCACCTACCAGGAGGAGAGATACCTAACAGATCCTTGTATTGTGCTCCCTGTGCAGTGATTGGGCACAGGAGGGACTGGTCACATGGCTGGGTTTTATTCCCATTAGTGCCTCTCACTGACAATTCATGTATGAAGTGCCTTTCCACTAATACCCTCAAATGAGACATTTAAATGAGAAAACTAAATGTATATTTATAAACAAATCAGAAATCTTCTGTCATTGCAGAACTCTCAGATGTTTAAATTTTTCTCTTACCTTCTTGTATTTTTTCTCTTTCCTACACATACTTTTGTGTATTCTAAATGTAGACTGGACGTACACATTTTTTATCAGAAAAAAGCGAGAGAAGCTATTTTATAAATTAGATAGGAATGCGTTCAGGGCCAAGCGAGATGCGCTCCTTCCCCCAGCAGAGGGCAGCAGTGCGCTCTGAAAGCCTTCCTGCCAAGCTCCTGCTGGGCTCCGCTGACCTAACCCCTGCTCCCACTTCTCCTGAGTCCCAGAGCCCTTTGGCTCTGCTGGAAAACCTCTGTCAGAGAGGTGGTTTCACTTCCCCAGGGCTGCCTCACTTTCTTCAGTACTCTCCTTTTTATGCATCTAGTTACCATAGAAAGGTAAGATCCTACAAAAAAGTAAAACTTGAAAACAAAGTCATTTTTGCAAATTCCAGACTGTTTAGTTAACTCAGTCAGGAGAGAATGCTGTCAGGGTTAGTCTTCCCTAGGCAGGAAATGTTTACTCACAGCCAGCGTAACCTCATGAGTGAACCCCTTACACATTCACTCACTCAGCGCTTCTCTGCTGAGCGCCCCCCCCCAGGGGCCACTGTCCCAAGGCAGAGATGTGGGTGAGCAGAGTTGGCCCTGAAGCCGGTCTTTGGGTGGGGACAGCAGATAGTGAACATGTGGTTCCCTGTTTAGTGGTGATCAGTGACAGGAGAGAAGGGACTGGGAGGACAGTTATGCAGAGGGGAGGGTGCTGTTTATTTGGGTGCTCGGGGGCTCTTCATGAAGTGGAGGGTGCTGGGAGAGGGTTGCCAGGTGGAAGAGACAGGCCCTGAGGTGGGGACCCTTGCTGAGAGGCGGCCATCAGGGCTACTGGCTGGAGACAGCTGGAGACATGAAGCAGCACCCAGCGCCTCACAGGCCACCACAGCAGCACTTTGGGTGTTCTCTGAACAGAGGGGGCGATGCTCTCTGTCAGAGCTCCCAGACACCCCAGGCCTGGGAGCAGAGGGACAGGTGAGCTTTTCCTGAGGTGGTGATGCTGAGTGGACACTGAGAACTCAGGAAATGCTGTTGAGTAAACACTCTAAAGAGCTCAGGGGTCCGCACTTTCCCAGAGACAGCTGGACAGGAAATAGTTCAGATTTGCAGGCTGTATGGTCCCTGACTTTGGGGACAGGGTCATGAAAGGAGCACGTAAAAACCTTGAAAGCAGCCACAGGTGTTACCTACAGGAAGAGTCAAGGCTATGTCCCAATAAAACTTTATTTACAATACAGGCAGTGGGCTGGAGCAGCCCTCCTGTAGACCACTGGTGATAAGACTGGTGTCCCAGCATTGCTTTAGTGCCCAGCATGCATTGTGATAGTCTTGTCCCAGCCCTGCAGGGCAGTGTCACCCTCACATTCTCTAGGTGGGGAGTGTGGCCCAGTGGCTTCAGCTCCTCCAGGCACTGGGACTTCTCCACCCCCGTGGCCTCTGATGTGGCCTGAGCCTCAGGTCAGAGCTCACACCTGACCTGCTGAGTGACAGGAGGAGTTAATCACGCCCTGTCCTGTCTTTCAGTTTCATGAACAGGCGCGGCATCTCTACCAACCCCTACCTAGGGGGCACCCCCAACGGCTACGCCCACCCCAGTGGGATGGCTCTGCACTATGATGACGTCCCCTGCGTCAACGGCTCGGTGAGTGCACGTACCAGGGGAAGGGTTACGTGGGACATCGTCTGGGCTCAGGACCCTGGTTCCAGTCCACGTGAGGACAGCTCTGTCCCATCTCCCCTGTCCTTGTTCCTGACAAGCTGTCCATCTTCATCTGCACTTGAATATGTAGGGCATTTGACAGCAGTAGACAGTGTCTCATTCAGTATTCAACATCACCGTCATTCATTAAACATCCCAGTTCATCCTAAAATACTGACTGAAGGACCACGAGTTAGAGTGCATGAAGTGGATACATCAAAATGCAAGACAGTGAGCTACCAATGAGTCATTTCCCCATGGGCTGAAAGTGCTGAGCAGTCACCATCAAAAGTAAATGGGGAAGGAAGGGAGGAAGGAGAGAAGGGAAGGAGGGGAGGGAGCGAGGGAGGGAATGTTGCCATAGTGTTGACGGTGCTACAGGCTCTAGACCTCTTCCCTCCAGGGGACTTGGAAAGCTGAGCCCTGTCCTGGCCTAGTGCTCTGCAGGTGCCTGTGTGTGAATAGTGAGGATGTTAGTGCCCCGTAGTGTATTAAAGTCAACTTCAGCATCCGTGTGGCCTTAGGAACATTTGATGTGTTCTCAGTATTTTGTGTCTTATGTAGAATTAGCAGAATTCATCAGTGAGCACTTGTTTCACGTCTCCATATTACTCATAAATAGCTGCCCCCCGACATCTCGGGCCAGGCACGGTGCCCGTCTTCTGGGCCATCACAGGTGTGGCCAAGCCGATGGGCTCATGGGAGAGGCTTACACACACCGTCCTGCCCCATCTTCAAATTCTGGGTGGGTTTTAGTTGGCATCTGTGTTAGTGTAGGTGTCAAAGGTAGGTAGGTATGTTTATTGTGACTTTTTTCAACCTTGGAAGGCATTTTAGATTTTTTTCTTACTGTTTTCTTACCCATTCTTTTCTCAGCATTTTGATGGATGTCATCTCTCAGCTCCCTGCATCCATCATCATCAAACCCCACCTGCCAAGGCAGGAGCAGGAGACCATTGTCTCCCAAGGGCAGTGAGGGGTCCAGGACTCCGGAGCTCAGAAATAGAAGCAAACTGAACATTGGGTTGTGGGCCATGGCCTTTCTCCCTCAGACCCCTCCCCGATCGGGCTGCCCTGGGGACCCCCCAGGGAGCAGCCTGTCTGGGCTCCTTGCTCAATTCTTCACACAGCCTCCCCCTTTCCTCCCCACTGCCTCCTCTCGTCTTCTGCCAGTCCTTCCTACCCCTACCTCCTTCCTTATTCTCCAAGTGTCCAGCTCTGTGCTAGGACTGAAAACAAAATGGGTGAGATGCTGCCTTTGTCCTTAAAGGGCCTCCTGGCATAGTGGAGTGGGCAAGGTGGCAGGAGGGGAGCTGAGCAGGATCTGGGCCTGACGGGCCTGTTCAAGGGCAGATTGAGGTGAACGTCAGGTTCCGTGTTTGTCGTGGGTATGAGGGTGTGAGGGAGCTGCTCTGACCTCCCAGCATGGCTGCAGGTCCACCAGATGGGATCCTGCCTGAGTCTGGGCAGTCCCACAATAAGAAAGCATCAGGTCCAGCCCCCCATTCACACCTCTACCTTTACTCCAGGGTCTCCAGGGGTGAGGGGCTCCTGGTGCCTGCACCCCTATACCCCTGTGGCGGGGCTTGTGCGAACCCTCCCACTCACTAGGAAAGCCCTGCGGTGACCCTCACAAGAGCAGGCTCCTGGTCAATCCTGAGCCTCCTCCTGGTCACTGTGCCGTTTTCTAGGCAGGCCCTGGCTCTCCTGGCCATCATTTGCTCTGTGTGCCACCAGCTTCTCGTGCCAGAGCTGCCTGAGCCCTGTGTCCACCAGCTGCCAGACTCCCCTTCACAGAAGGGGCGAATGTCTGCATCTCTGAGCCTTGATTTCAGGGAAGCTTCTTTGGAAAGGTAACACCCATACCTACCTCTAAGTCTCCCCACCAAGGCCCTGTCACGTCCCTTTTTCTCCAATCACAGCTTCCACAGGAAAGTCTGAAGTGAGGCATGCTGGGGAAACCATGGACACCCTCCCC